TCCCTACAAGGAATCAGAATCTTAAGTACAGCAGTAATATTGCAGTCCTTCCCCTAAGCATGACTTCTCCTAATAATGCTGGAAATTAATATTCCAGTGTACGTATGCCGCCCTTCTGTCCAAAGGCCCCTGCGTTTGGGTAACGATGGAAGTTGCGTACACTACGGATCACATGCTGAGCAACCGGCCCCTTTCCTAGGTGTTCTGTCACAGCTTGCCCCTAGGTCCTGTGCCACAGCACCGCTGCCAAGGGGGTAGCTGGGATCAGGGCACGGGCAGACAGGTTTAAGCCTGCAGCACAGTGTAAAGGGGCGAGGCATGCACATGTGGGAGGGCAGTGCAGATTCCCGGGCAACTTTTATCCAAATCCACAAAGTCGAGGAGTTACCTGTACATTTTACAGATGGCAGAATTTGAATCTAACGTCTCTAGCGAGAAATTTGCTAAGCACTGGTTTTGAAACCGTAGGCAGAGCTTACCCCTGTACTACAGCAACGATCAGTAAATCTAGACGCGCACCTCTGAGATTACTGAATGCACACCAGATGTTTTCGGCGCACAGATTGCCTTGCTGGGTGTTGCCGTGGGAGTGAATGCTGACCCATTAGCGAGGCTGACACCTGCACCGCCATTAAATGGTCGGTACCTCGTCTGAGATGTTGAGACCTGTTCTGTGTCAGTATCCAGATGTCAACCACTCTGCGGAAGGTGACAGGAGAGCATATATCCAGCTCTGTGAACTTGGGTCATTGTGCTGTAAGCTTTGCCATCCCTGTGGTCTCCTGAGGGGGTGGAGTGACGCCACATTTAGTGTAAACTGTCTGACGTTTCTGAGAACGCTGTAGGTAGAACAGCATTAAGTGCTTTTATTATTATTATTATTATTATTATTATTATTATTATTGCTGCAACTGCTCAAGCTAAAATATGTGAACTTTTCTCCAGGGTCTGGAAACTCTTGGTTGCATCAGGCGATTCTACATGAAAAAGCCATCCCTGGTGTCACTCTTTTCTCAGCCAGTTGTGGAAGAAAACCTAAACAATCCCAAACTGAGCGAAACCCCAACAGCATACTACGAGCCTACGATAGACTGTGCTCTCAGGCTGGGAAGAGTGTTCCCCTGTGAAGTCAACTGGAATAAATGGGTGCAGATTATCCCTGTATAAAAGAGATAAAGCTGAGCCATATTACATTGGTTTAGACTACAGGAGTGAGCGTTAGTGCAGACTAAGTGTTACAATTTCTGCTCCATCATGGTTTTATTAAGTTATTTATCCTTTTTACTTTTGAATGTATTTAAACTGAGAATAAAGCTTAACGTTGACACAGGTAATATTTGATCCTACTTTAAGTATATTCTCTTTTTACCAGTAACTGCTTATAGAGGATGTAGTTCATAATTTCTGCTTTATCTTATGGGGTTTTCACAAGGCACAGCAAAGGCCCCTTTTTTCCCCCCTGCCCCAAGGCCGCAGCGCTCGCATTTTACCTTTGCTTTGCCTTCTCCTCTGCTGCACCGCAGCTGGCTCTGCGCTAAGGTTTGGTAGCTGTCCCTTAGCTTCGTTACCGTCAGGTCTCTCTGTATTTCAAAGACTGGGTGCTCGGTGTGCGTGGCATTAGTTTCTGATGTGTGCTTTTAGCAGAACCACAAGGGCCCTAGTGCCGCAAGGCAGGGAAGAGCGAGCGCCCTTTCGGAGGCTCCAGCTGTCGTTTTCGGGTTGTGTGGCAGCCCTGCCGCGGGTCAGGTTTAAAGCAACCACGCACCAGACTTCCACCCCGTGAGGTGTTTATTGCAGGAGAAGACACCCATACCCCATCCCCGCGGGACCGGTGCTGCGGGGCCCAGGCCAAGCCCCTCTCCGCAGCTTCGCGGAGGGAGAGCGGGCTGGGC